TCAGGGGAGGGCTCCTCACCCTCTGCCCCTGCTCCAGTGTGGGCTCCCTCCCAGGACGTGCAGTCCTTCACGAATTTTTCCAACGTGATTCCTTCCCACGGGCTGCAGTTTTCTCCTCTAACTGTTCCAGCGTGTCTCTTCCATGGATGTGCAGTCCTTCAGGAGCAGCCTGCTCTAGCACGGGCTTCCCACGGAGTCACGGCCTCTTCAGGTGCAGCTACCTGCTCCGGCGTGGGGCCCTCCCTGGGCTGCAGGAGGGGTCTGTGCTCCCCCGTGATCCTCCATGGCTGCAGGGGCACAGCCTGCCCTCTCCCCACCGGCTGAGGGGAACCTCTGCTCTGGGCACATCCTCCCGCCTTTCCGCACTGACTTCGGGTCTACATCATTATATATGTTTTCCTTTTAAGGCCTGTGGGGGACAAGACTCATGGAAGAAAGCAACACCAGCAGAGAGCAATACCTGAAAAGCATTTTACGGGAGTTGGTTACATATGTGATTTTCCTTGTGGTCCTGTGTGTCTGTAAGTACTGTTCAGCACAAATGCATTCAGTTCTGTACTATCTGCTGTGTGATTCCAGAATGAAGGTTGTTTCAGTGATGTGGGAGGAAGATTAATGGGCAGGTGTGTAGGCAAATACTCAGAATCAAATCTTTCTCTTGTTTCTGTGTATGGATTGTTGCTTGAGATTGAGAATAATGCAACTTGCTGTGGCTTAACAAGTTTTGAACCTTTAAGCAGGATGATAATATCCTTTGTTTTTAGGGAGCATTTCTTTCATGTAGTACCACACTGGAGTGTAATACTTCTGCTATTACACTCCAATGTACACTCAAATACTTCTGTTTTGAAATCACTGAACAGAACTGTTACATGTCAAGAGTAGGAGTTGGTCATCTAGGACAAAAAATTAAATTAAATCACCAAGTTTCAAATTTATCACTAAGTTTATGTACAGGTCATCCTAAGAATAAAAGTTCTTAATAGTAGCTGGAAAGGCAGAGATAATGCTGGGTACTGAGAAATAGCTGGTAATTTGTGTTGGCATGATACCAGATGCAGCCTATATATATTCAAGTGTATATGGATCACAGTGGTAGGGTTCTGAGAGCAATCATCTTTTCTGGCCTTGGCAACTTGAAGGTCTTATAAAATTCTATTTCAGGATTTCTAGGGTTTTTTAAGTTAATAGTCAAAACAAGGCATGTTGATACATTTGCACGAGACTTAGCAAGACAGTGCAAAATAGAACTTACTGTGGAGTTGTGAAATAGATGTTTTATTTGGTTACCACGGAGAACAACAACAAAATCTGTGTGCATTAAGTTAGTGTATCGTTGGAAAGCCGATATGTTTCAAGCCTCCAGTTTTTAGTGTGGGCAGTTCTGTTCTAAACCCATGAAATTTCAGTGATGCTTCAGTTGTCATTTATAAGTAGTTGTAATAGAACAAGGTGAAATTTTTATTTTTTGTGAGATGGAATCTTGGAGTGGAAAAGGAAATGCAAAACTACATAGGTAGACTGAGAGCAAGTCTGCCTTGCTTCTCTGGAGTAGAATTACTAAAAAACCCAAACTTTATGCCGTTGACTCAACTGTTTCAGTGTTGTACTGCAAGCATACTAAATACCATGCTTTTTCCTGCCAGAGTCATTTAGGAATGCTTAGTGCAGGTTTATGGACAAAGCAGTGTAAGACTGCTTGTGGCTGGCATGCAGTATCACCCAGAGAGGTGTAGCAGTGAGGGACCTGAATTGAAGTGAAATTGGTTTCAGCAGGATGTTAACAATTGGTTTTGCTATACAATAATATTTTTGATAACAGAATAAGGGAGAAGTGTAGTGTGTTAAATATCTACAAATATTGCTAACTCATTAGTATTTTTTTAAGTACTATCCTTTTTAATTTTACACATAAGCAATAACTGTGGGACAGACTGGTCTGTGGCTTGGCATGCCCTGGGAGAGAGCTTTCCAGTGCAGGCTGAATACTGTGGGCATTTCTTGTACTCTTGTATTTTTGAGAGTACGTATTTAGAGCAAATCCAGGTATTGCACAGTCATGTGATACATTCCATGTGCCACAGAAGTCTATTAAAACTAGTTCTTGTACTCTGGTTGCTAAGGAAAATATAATCTTCCCTGTGATTAAATATTTTTATAAAATCGTCAAAATTGATGGAGATTGTTCAGTGTAGGCTGAACTTTACTTTCTGTGGGGAGATTCTCTTAGAAGCACTGCATGTCTTGGGTGCAGTTTCATTGTCTGACCGTAGGCGGCTAATGTGATTTGCAGACCCCCACGATGTCCTGGTTGACCGTCATTACCTGCTCCAACAGGGCATAGTTCTCCTGAGGACTTGTGCCGTCCGTGCCAGCTCTCTATGGATGCCTTGGATAGCACAAGTCACCTAAGAAGGAACTAGCTGCCTCTCTAGGATGCTGAATCATGCCCTTGTGTTTCTTGGAGAAGCATTCGTAATAGCACGAGTTGTGGGAAGGAGAACTGAGTAAACTGATTGATCAGTCTGTTCTTCACTGCTTTTTGTATTTTAATCACAGTTGGCAGACAAATGCTGCTTGGTGTAGGTTTTGGTTTGTTCTGAAGCTTAAACTTTTAAGTGCAAAATATACACAAATACAACCTGATGTATTCAAAACAAGAGAAGTACTTTTTTTTTCTTCTTCTTTTTCTCTTCACTTTCCCCCATCCCTTTACCTCTCACTCCTTACCAAATCTTTTGCAGTGACTTACGGGACAGTGAGTTCTAGTATGTACTATTACACAAGGGTTATGTCACAGCTGTTCCTGGAAACACCTGTATCAAAAATGGAGAAAACTGATTTCAAAACTTTGTCCACAATGGATGACTTCTGGAAGGTAATCTAAAACCATTTTTTTCTCGCTATGATTTGCTTGTCCTATCGTGGCCTGTAGACTTAACCTGCAGGATCTTTTTTAAAATGCCGTAGAGGTTATGCATGAAGATCTGTGTGCACGCTGTCAAAGCTATGGAACAAAGTGGGCCTTTAGTATGTGGAAGTTTAGAACCCAGGTAGCGCTAGTGGGGCAAGGTCATGAAATGTCTTTGGAGGACAGGTAATAGTAAGGCCTTATGTCAGAAAAATTATCACCTCCAATTATTAACACACCCACGAAATGAAGATCTATAGAAACAGTTCTGGCAATGTGTAAACTGAAATTCTGTCTTATTCCCCAGTTCACAGAAGGCCCTTTGCTGGATGGTCTTTACTGGGAGATGTGGTACAACAACAAAACCATGGCAGAAAACAAAAGCTTCATTTATTATGAGAACCTGCTCCTAGGAGTGCCTCGCATTCGGCAACTGAAAGTGAGAAATGGTTCATGCTCGATACCTGAAGATTTAAAGGATGAAATCAAAGACTGCTATGATGTCTATTCTGTAGCTAATGAAGATACTGCTCCTTTTGGACTCCGAAATGGAACCGCGTACGTAGTATTCCTGTAGACACCTTTCTTTTTTCTGCCCTGGGTTATACTGAATTACACAAGAAGTCACTTGGCAGAGGCACCTCTGCATTTGTTGTATGTTCTGTCTGTAAAGACAGGTAAATCCAGAACAGCTGCCAGTTCTGCTCGTGGAGAAACCTTATCGAACTTGGAGAGGACTGTGTTCTTGCTCCCCCCGAGTCCTGTAGGTTGTGCGACTGGTAGCTGTTGCGCATAGGAGACACGCTGTGGTCTGAGGGCAGCACTGCAACTCGTGAGCGCCTGTTCCATCCCAGCTTGTATTGCTGCAGTGGGTTTCACCCTGTTGTCTTCCCTGGCTAAAAATGGGAACAGTCTTGCCTGTCTTGGAGGACAGTGTGCGAGGTGTACTATAAAATGTTTTGGAGGTGGAACGTAACTACGTAAATGCCAATTTTCTTTCTTTCCCTGAGGATAGAAATTCTGTGTGAGTGGGTTGATACGTGCTCTTTGCACCGTTAAAATACTTGTGACCCGTCTTTCTGTTTTAATTTTGTTGCGTTAGTCAAAGGAACTTTATAAGATCTGTCTCCAGCTTACATCAAAGCTTTCTACATGTACCACTTAAATTTAAGCAGCTATAAGTAACCGATACACTTTTTGGCTCAGATGTTGGTGGTGGCTATTTTGTTAATAGTAAGTTGAAAGTGAAAAGACTGAAGTGCTCTGTTTCACTTACTTCTGAGCTAGTTGGACGTACACCAATGAGAAGGATTTGAATGGAAGCAGCCACTGGGGCTTGATTGCCACATACAGTGGGGCTGGTTATTACCAAGACCTCTCGAGGACCAGAGAAGTGACAGCTGTACAGATTGCTAGCCTTAAGAAGAACCTGTGGCTGGACAGAGGGACCAGAGCAGCTTTCATAGATTTCTCCGTGTACAATGCAAACATCAACCTATTCTGCGTAGTCAGGTATGAACAGAACCGTGACGGTGTTCACATTACACAGTGTAGGTTGTAGACGTGGGGTTTTCTTGTGATTGCTTTGGTTTGTGGGCATGGGCATACGATTTGTATAAAGGAGACAGACAACTGAAGTGGCACGCCTCCCTGTCAGAGAGATGGGACCCAATGTGGTGGCTGAATTCACAGGGCTTTTGCCCGTTTCCATTATTTAAGTAATTATGTAAATAAGTTTTTTACTACTGCTTTTCATCAATGCTGTACAAATTATTTCTTTTTTCTTTGCCTTTTTTTAAATGCAGGTTATTAGTGGAGTTTCCAGCAACTGGAGGCCTTGTTACATCTTGGCAATTTCAGCCAGTGAGGCTGATTCACTACATCTCCACTTTTGATTTTTTCCTGGCAGCCTGTGAAATGGCATTTTGTCTTTTTGTTCTTTATTATATGGTGGAAGAGATCTTAGAAATTCACATTCATAGACTGCACTACTTCAGAAGTCTCTGGAATTGCCTTGATGTCCTTATCATTGTGGTAAGTAATCTTTATAATAAGGCCAAAGAAATACACTTAGTGGGAGATGTTAATGACTTGGTATTCCTATTGTGGGTTTAAGGCCATCATTAGGAAGGATGCTTTCAGACTATCAGGCTATTCAGTCTGACTAGGACAGTTTCAGCCTGTGTTGTAACATTGGTGTGTTTTGTAAATTTTCTTGTTATGTCTTCTGTGGTTTCAACCTTCACCTCTCGGTGAAAAGTAGAGTCTTTGTCCAGCACGTGTTTTCACAGGTTTTGTCTGCAAAGGTTTTGTCTGTTACCTCTCAGGTGTTACGGGAGGTAACAACTCACCCTCATTTCTCTTCTACATATCTGATACAGACTACTGCAGTGGCTTTCAAGTAAGAAAATCATCTGCTTTAAAGTAGTGATTTATATTTGGAAGAATGGGACTAGGATTTTTAATAAGTTTTGCAAAGAACCACCAAGAGATTTAATGTGGTATTAAAACACTCACTAGCTAATACCGAATTTGAAGAATTGTCTCAAAGTTGTAGAGCACTAGCAGCTGTCAGGGCGGCTTTCTTGGCTAAGTGGACAGCGTTGCACATCAGTAATCTTGGTGCAGCAGAAAATCTGAGCTTTGAATTTAAAGCTGCGTAATATAATTCTCTCCAGACTTACATCAAACTGTGCTTGCTAAAAAGTATACAAAGCCAGCAGTGCTGTAACAGTTCCAGTTGCCTTACTGCCAGGCTGTTTGTCTATAGTCTAGGACTATAATGGCTTTGTTGTGAAATGCATTTTCTGATATGTCCAGAAATTCTAGTTTGGATCCTATCTCAAACAGCACTGGGCTGTTAAATTACTCCCAAGTGAAAGGGTGAAACCTGGCCCCCTGCAGCCCCTGTAACTGCCTGGCCATAAGCACTAATGTGGTCAGTGACCAGTGGAGTTGACACAGAAGGACTGCGAGAAGCTTCCTTCAGTGATTCTTTTGTTTTGTTTTGTTTTCCTAGATGCAATGCAATCCCTGACTGTTATTTTACTGTTTGAAACTTTAGCTTTGTGGTCAGGACACTTGAAAAAAGCCATATATTTGCTTTTACTTAAAGTTCACATTATGGTAGTGCTGTAAATAACATGAAGTTCCTCATACCTTAACTGTATCTGAGATATGTGACTAAACCAAGTTGTTTTAAAACCCTAATTGCCTTTTGTAACCTTATGTTTCTTCTGTACTCAGCTCTCTGTGGTGGCGGTAGGAATTAGCATCTATAGGGCATCGACTGTTGATATGCTCCTGAAGAAGCTGCTGGAAGATCAGAACTCGTTCCCCAATTTTGAACCTTTGGCATATTGGCAAATGCAATTCAACAACATTGCTGCAGTCACTGTGTTTTTTGTCTGGATTAAGGTAACTCCGAAGCACACATCCTTATTTTAACATTAGAATGTAAAGAGTGTCCTGAGTTTTGTGTGATGTATTATTTGAGCTTTAGTCGTGTTTCTCCTAAAATTGGTCACGTGACAGAGTCAGAGCACAGGGGTAACTTGCTGCAGGTTAAAAGCAAGGTTGTAATTTGCCACAGGTTTCGTCAGCCCTCACTTAAGTATAGAAGATGTGCGTGCTGTTGCTTTGGCACAGCAGACGTGAATTATTAGAACTGTTGGTAAAGATAGTCCAATTTGTTTGAAAACTAGATATATTGCTTCATTTCTTTGTTCTACTGCCTCCTTTTTATTGATACTTCTGTTGTGGTTTAGGCCCAGCCAGCAACTAAGCCTCACACAGCTGCTCAGCCTGTGGGGAAGAGAAACCTGCAGGTTCCCCAGCAGGTCTTTTCCCCTCTCAAACATGTTATCCCAAAGGTGCTACCACCATCACTGACTGGCTTGGCTGTGGCCAGAGGGGG